AATGGTTCTGTACAGACAGGCACTGTCCCTTTCTGTCTTAAACATGCTGTGGTCCAGTCTTTACTCAAAAAAACAAATATTGATCCCACTGAATTAAATAATTATAGGCCTATTTCAAAACTGCTATTTCTGCACAAAGTTTTGGAAAAGGTTGTATTCAACCAAATTTCCCTCTACCTACAGTAAATTCTAACAATATTCTGAATCCTTTTCAGTCTGGCTTTAGAGCGGAAAATGTTTTTGCCCCCTTCCTGTTTTTAATTTTTTGCACATTTGTCACACTTGAATGATTCAGATCATCAAACTAATTTTGATATTACACAAAGATAACCTGAGTTAATACAAAATGCAGTTTTGAAATAGTGATTTCATTTATTAAGGGAAAAAAGCTGCCCAAACCTGCCTGGCACTACGTGAAAAAGTAATTGCCCCCTAAATCTAATAACTGGTTGTGCCACCCTTTGCAGCAACAACTGCAATCAAGTGTTTGCGATAACTGGCAATGAGTCTTTCATATCACTGTGGAGGAATTTTGGCCCACTCTTCTTTGTAGAATTGTTTTAATTCAGCCACATTGGAGGGTTTTCGAGCATGAGTGGACCGTTTAAGGTCCTTGACTTGGCCACTCCAAAACCCAAGAGCGCTTGAGCTTGAGGTCACAAACTGACGGCCGGACATTCTCCTTCAGGATTTTCTGATAGAGTGCAGAATTCATGTTTCCATCAATTACGGCAAGTCGTCCAGGTCCTGAAGAGTGAGGCCTGCAGTTCTTTAGATGTTGTTCTGGGTTCTTCTATGATCTCCTGGATGAGTCGCCGTTGCGCTCTTGGAGTAATTTTGGTTGGTCGGCCACTCCTGGGAAGGTTCACCATTGTTCCAAGTTTTCTCAATTTGTGGATAATGGCTCTGACCATGGTTCGCTGGAGTCCCAAAGTCTTAGAAATGGCTTTATAATCCTTTCCAGACTGATACATGTCAACTGTTTTGATTCTCATCTGTTCTTGAATTTCTTTAGATCGTGGCATGGTGTGTTGCTCTTTAAGCATGCTTCACTTTGTCAGACAGGTTCTATTTAAGTGATTTCTCGATTCAACAGGTCTGGCAGTAATCAGGCCTGGGTGTGGCTAGTGAAATTTAACTCAGCTTTCTAAAATAATGTGGTTAATTGCAGTTCTTTCATGATTTAACAGGAGGGGCAATGAATTTTTCACATAGGGCCAGGAAGGTTTGGACAGATTTTTTCCTTAATAAATGAAATCATCATTTAAAAACTGCATTTTGTATTTACTTGCAATATCTTTGTGTAATATTAAAATTTGTTTGATGATCTGAATCTTTTAAGTGACAAATATGCAAAAAAAAAAAAAAAAACAGGATGGGGGCAAAAACACGCCACTGTATGTATGCATATATATAAATTAATTCAAATGAATAAATAAAAGCTGAACTACTTTTCTTGGTAGATATTTTTTTCAGACATTCTTAAGAACATTATATCACACATACTGAACTTTCCTTCAAAATGTGACAGGCTTTGCATCTTTCTGGCATCTTTTACTGACTTTTTCTGCCTTTGATTTTATAGCAGGCTAAACGGGATGAAGATCTACATCGGTCATTCTACAATGAACCCCAATAAATGAACTTTATGCTGGTGATGGTGTACCCAATGACAGATGCCTACAGCATTCAACAGTTCTTATTATAATATCATAAAAATGTTCCCTAACTTTAAGCTCAGGATCTGGAGAAAATGTTTATTATGCCCCAAATAAGTCAAAAGACTTTCATAAACAAGTACCTGCTAAAGTGAAACACAGGTGTTATTATGTTATTCAAATGCACAACTCACATTTCTTATATTTCTCGGTATCCACTGAGAATCTGTGCACTGCTCTGACAGTTGTGACATGCAGAAATATTATCCACTGGGAATTGATTGTATATATGTTTTGTTTTATTTAAAATGTATATACAATTTGTGACTTGAGTAAAGCCACAGGCAAATTTAGTAGACTGAAACGTCATAAATGATTTCTTAGGGGTTTTATGGGGGTATTATCATTTTGTAGGGAATAAAACAAATAAACAAACAAATCAAATAGTTAAGTCACTAAGTCCCAATAATTTAAATGCAATTATGATTTTCAAAAATATTTTGTATATATTCTTTTTCATGTGTCACAGTAGCTTTATAATAATATTCAGACAAAATGGATTTGCATTCCTGAATTTTTTATTCAAAACAATATTTGCCTTTTTTAATGAACCTTTTCTAACCGTTGTCTGAAATAAGTTGTTATTGTATTGTAAACAATTTTTTTGACTGTTTTATACAAATGAAAGTTTTGAATGTGTTCTTTTGTGGAATTCTTGAATAAAATGTTTGGTTAATAATGATGTCTAACGTTGTGCTTGTTACTGAATGAGAAAACATAAGAGATAGATAGATAGATAGATAGATAGATAGATAGATAGATAGATGATCGAACAACAGAACGACAGATGGACAGGATGATAGACAGAACAATAGAAAGATAGAACGACAGATGGACAGGATGATAGACAGAACAATAGAAAGATAGAACGACAGATAGACAGGATGATAGACAGAACAATAGAAAGATAGAACGATAGAATGATAGAACGATAGATAGACAGACAGACAGACAGATAGATAGATAGATAGATAGATAGATAGATAGATAGATAGATAGATAGATCCCACATAGACTGCTGATTTAAACACATGAAGAAGCCTCTAAGTACGTCTGACGTTTTTCTTTAAAATTAGCATTTCTTTCTGGCTATATGAAAAGGTTTCTATGCAAGTACTGGTACTTCTGAATGGGTTGAGGCTGGGATTTAGCGCATTTGAAGTGAAAGTACTTGATGAACATATGCTATGTGTAGCGAGCATTCAATCAGTATCATTATCTCATTTTTGACCAAGATGGCTTTTAGAGGGTTTTGCATTGGAACTCTTCACATATTACTCATGAGAGCTATTGTTATAATATGACCATATAGCCTACAAATGTACAGGTATTATAGCAAGCATGATAAATCTACTTTTAGATAATCGCGGTTTGTCCCTTCCGGCCCGCCGTACTCACTGATGTTACCGTGGTGACGCAAAGACGCCCTGAGCTAAATCCTCTTACAGAGCGACCGAGTTTCAGTCAATATTATCGAAGGAAAAACATATTTACTTTGGTTTAATTCGCTTGTGAAGCGCTGCCAGTAAGGACTGGTGATGGCGTCGGTGTTGGACGCACTCTGGGAGGACAGAGACGTGAGATTTGACATCACTCAGCAGTAAGTCCGCAGGCTAATCTGCTAGCTCAGAAGCTAACGGCGTTCATTTATTAAATCATACATTAATTGTGAGCTTGGAGGATATTTTGTGCTACACGTCGACAGATGTTGTAATCACAGTCAATGAATGAAAGAGATACAATGATCTTGAGAGGTTTTAACGTTCTCTCGGATCAGTAAGGTTAAGGTTTATAAACTAATACCCGGAATATTATTGTTAACTAAATTATAACAAAACTATTAAAAACGTGTGTTCATTCAAATAAAGATGAAGCATATGAATATTAGATAAACAAAAACTACAACTCCAATTTAAATTAAAACTGAAAATATAAACATAAAAGCTCATTTAAAATCTGAATAAAATCTATCATTGTATCTAAGTAATATTAAAACAACACTGAATATTACATACAGTATATCTAATTATAAAATATCATTAAATGCATATCAAATAAACATAATGCATTTAAGGCATATTATTACCTTTTTTATGTGGGCCTGTTTTTATATATATTTTTAATGAGCCATTTAGTATTTTATTCTCCTCTCAGACCGAAGCCAGTGAGTTTATGTTTGATTTAAGGCAGATGAAAACCAGACCAGGTGAAGCGCTCATCGACTGTCTGGATTCAATCGAGGACACAAAGGGAAATAATGGTGACAGAGGTGATTAAATGTATTATTTCAGCCTTGTTACCTTTATGTATAATAAGTTGTAATAATTGGGACATCTTGTTTTGTCTTTATACAGGAAGACTCCTGGTGACCAATTTGAGGATAATCTGGCATTCGCTGGCACTACCGAGAGTCAACTTGTGTGAGCGTTACATCTTTTATTGCACTGGACAGATGAAGCGCACTCAGAAAACATAATTTTGATTATTTTCTTGTTTTTAAAGGGATCATATGATGCTGCTAAAAAGAACACTATTTTGTGTATTTGGTGTAATGACATATTATTACCTTTTTTATGTGGGCCTGTTTTTATATATATTTTTAATGAGCCATTTAGTATTTTATTCTCCTCTCAGACCGAAGCCAGTGAGTTTATGTTTGATTTAAGGCAGATGAAAACCAGACCAGGTGAAGCGCTCATCGACTGTCTGGATTCAATCGAGGACACAAAGGGAAATAATGGTGACAGAGGTGATTAAATGTATTATTTCAGCCTTGTTACCTTTATGTATAATAAGTTGTAATAATTGGGACATCTTGTTTTGTCTTTATACAGGAAGACTCCTGGTGACCAATTTGAGGATAATCTGGCATTCGCTGGCACTACCGAGAGTCAACTTGTGTGAGCGTTACATCTTTTATTGCACTGGACAGATGAAGCGCACTCAGAAAACATAATTTTGATTATTTTCTTGTTTTTAAAGGGATCATATGATGCTGCTAAAAAGAACACTATTTTGTGTATTTGGTGTAATGAAATGTGTTTATGTGGTTTAAAGGTTAAAAAAACACATTATTTTCCACATACTGTACATTATTGTTTCTCCTCTATGCCCTGCCTTTCTGAAACTCGTCGATTTTTACAAAGCTCATCGGTCTGAAAAGCGAGGTGTGCTCTGATTGGCCAGCTATCCAGTGCGTTGTGATTGGCCGAATTCCTCAAGCGTGTGACGGAAATGTTACGCCCCTTACCATAATGTGATGCCTGCGGCAACCACATGTGACGACCCCGGCTGGACTCCGCTTCGTCCACAGTGAAAGCCGATCCGGTGATCCACAGCGCTAAGTTGTTGTATTTCCTCATCGACCAGCACGGATCAGCTCCAGGCATGACGAAGCGGATATCGTCCTCTTTAGGAAGACCAAACAAAGTAGTTTCGCTTTCATAACGAAACACACAGCGTCTTCACGACATGGCGGCAGCGCCAACAACAAAACTACAGCGAGAATAAAAGTTACGCCTTCTTTCTTTGCGTGAACATTTGGGTGGCGTCATGCAAATCTTCCAACACAGTGATGTAGATATGTGGGGGCGTGTTCGAACGAGCCGTTTTAGGTAGGAGTGGTTAACTCTTAACTTTTATAAAGAATATCTCTTTGGATTTGAGACTTTAGTCTTTGCAACTTTACAGATCTTCTTTATGCACCAAGAGCTTGTAACACTCCAAAAATTTAAATCGCATCATATGACCCCTTTAAAATATTAAAACAAATTCTTCATTTGTGATGTAATCATTCACGCATCAGAGAGCTGCTTGACATCAGTTGATGGTCACTGAGGAATCATTCTCTGACTCATCTTTATATTTACCTTTTTATTTGTCTTCTATTTTTATTTATTAACAGCTGTGGGATACAACTGCATTATTAATATCACCACGAGGACAGCAAATTCAGTGAGTCATCTTGATGCATGTTTTCCTCACATTCTTTTAGCTGGCTCATATGGATGATGTCAAATTCCCTCTTTTTTCCAGAAACTGAGAGGTCAGACTGAAGCTCTTTACATATTAACCAAATCTAATAACACTAGATTTGAGTTCATATTCACCAATGTGGTCCCAGGAAGTCCAAGACTGTTTACATCGGTCATTGCTGTTCACAGGTACTTATGCTATACATAATGACACGATTAGACCACTTTAGTGACAGTTCAAATCATCTATTTTTTTTTCTTTTTTTTCAGAATCTGAGTTGGCATATTGATTAAATTTACAAACTATTATTTAAATCTAGTATTTAGATCTGTAGCTCAATATATACAATATTCTGTGAACAATTTTTAAAAATGTTTACTGTTAAAAGTATTTTTAGCAGCACTTTGAAGAAATGTTTAATGCTTAAAAAAAAAAAGTAATTATTAGATTTACAGAGGGAGGGACATAAAGAAATATCACATCATCTGACAAAACAGAAAGCATCAGATAGAAGAGTTTTTGATTGGTTGAATTGGACCTTTTAATAACATTAATTACTCAAGAGGAAATATTATTATAGGAAAGCCTATAAGAAATGTTGCATACGATAAACTTTACAAAATAGAACAAAATATTATGCTGAAATTATTGGAATGTCAATCAAATATTTATTTATTTAATTTTATTCATTCAGCTGACACAAATAAGAAATATTAAGCCATGCCTTTACTTAAGGCATGTAAAGTATTAGTACAGTTAACTAATTATTTGTGTTTCTTTCTTTCAGAGCTTATGAAACTTCCAAAATGTATCGAGATCTGAAGCTAAGAGGAGCTCTTATTCAGAATAAACAGCTGAGGCTTCTGCCACAGGAGCAGGTTTATGACAAAATTAATGGAGTCTGGAACCTGTCTAGTGATCAGGTATTTTCAGTGGCTTGACAGTGTTATTGATTGTTTAATAGGAATTGAACTGAGAAATGTCTGTTGCTGTGCCCTTAAACAAGAAAGCGTGGGCTTGTGTTTCAGGGTAATCTTGGAACATTTTTCATTACTAACGTGAGGATAGTGTGGCATGCCAACATGAACGAGAGCTTCAACGTCAGCATTCCCTATCTACAAATTGTGAGTGTTTCTTATGCTTCAAAAGACTCAGCCATCAGTAATGAGTTGTAATTAGTAAAACTGTGCTTTCTTTTTCTTATTATTTTGTTTGAAGCGCTCAATAAGGATTAGGGACTCTAAATTTGGACTTGCTCTTGTGATTGAGAGCTCTCAACAGGTAAGTTAGGACCAACATTAAGATCACCAGAAAAAAACATGTATGTCATATAATGTGACCTATAATGACCCTAACATTTCATTAAAAGCACACATTTTCTTAAAATTATTATCATTTTTGATGCGATGAATAAAGGGATAGTAATTTGTACACTACCAGGCAACATTTTTTTTAAAGAAATGATTTAGCAAGGACACATTAAATTGACAGCAAAGATATTTATGTTGCAAAATATTTACATTTTTCAGTAAATGTTGTTCTTGTAATCTTTCTGCTTATCAAAGAATCTTT